GCATCCTTAAACAAAAGAATACAAAGGGCGGACTTAATACCTTGAGGCATTCTCTACCAGTCAATCCATACATTATTATCTAGGCTTATCAAAAGCACAATAACAATGAATTCTGTCTGAAGTTCCCAAAATGTCAAGTAAACATAGTGGATGTTTTGCACTTGCTGTATATTTGATGAAAATAGGAACAGGAGATAGTGATGAATGCATATAGGCATTATTGCAAGTGCCAAGAAACAAATTAGAGCGGCTCATGAATATGGCCCGCGAAATATTAAATCAGGATGTTGTTCCTATGAATTTTATCCATCGTTACCACTCTCTGTGCCAAATTACATTCAGTAATTATGATATTATATTAGAGGCAAATAATTTCTTAGCTTTCCTAGACGTTTTTGTTATCCAAAATCCTAACAACATCATAGGTCACACTGTGTATAGAAAAAAGACCCACACAAACTTATATTTAAACTGTCAATCTCACCATCATCCTTCACAGTTAGTACCGTGAGCAAATCTTTGTTACAGAGAGCATATGGGATCTGTGAGAGCAAGCACCTGGCCGCGGAGCTTCAGCACGTCAAGCAGGTTCTTTATAAAATCAAGCTTCGGGTCCCACGTCTACGTCACAGTGACCGAGTGAAGCTGACTGCAGTTGAGCGTGTGCCAGCTGTACTACCGTATGTCAAGGTTGTCACCCCAACCAGATAGACATACATCAGATTTGATAGACCACAAATCCTCGTGAAAGAACCTTAATTCCTACCAAGGATGATTGGCTATTGAAATTAAAAAACACCCTAATTTCAATAGAGAAGGCGGTTGGGTACTACCACCTGCTTGGGACACTATAATTAATAAAATTAAAACTAAACCCAAGCATACAACTGCAAGACTTAAAGATAGAGTAAGTTCAATCTGCGTAGATTGGACTATAAAAATAATAATAAAAAGCTGAAGGTACCATGTCCCAATACTGATATTGGGATGGCAGTCACCTCAGTCCCCCGTGACCATGTGTGCTATAAAGCACCTGAAATGTCGGGAAACAAAAGTTAAAGAAATTAAAAGCAATAAAATTGGTAAAAGTAGTCGTTAAAAAACTGTATTTGTGGAAATAAAAACTTTTATATCATAAAAATCTCGACTTTTTTTAAACCAATTCCTTAAGCATTTCATTATTTTAATTGCATATCATTTCCATATGCTTTTATATGTACCAATGGCCGAAGTGTCTATGAACAGTGGGCATCCCCCTTTGCGATCAACAACGTGGTGGTGGCAGAATCGAAGTTGAATTGCTTGTGTATTGTGAAATTGAATACAATAACTTATCCCCTTTGCTAGCATCTGCTTGAATTTTGTTTTTAATTTTCTTATTATCTACCATTACAGCCTATCATAAGTCCACTGCTGAACATAGGGCTTCCTATATATCCCAATAGATTGCCTTTTAGGAAACATATTTTGACTAAATGTTTACAAAATGTTCTCCCTCACATAATACAAAAGTACTAAAATATGCAATATTTTAATTTCTAAAATAAAATTCAGGAAAATACAAAAAGATGATTTATACTATGAAGATATATATATGAAGATTTTTTATACCAAATTCACCACCAATATAATATACAAAAAATCTTTAAAATATGATGTAGCGCCTGCTCAATATCCACTACCACATCTTCCCGTGGGTGTCGTAAAAGGCAACAGAGGGAGACAGGCAGGAGATGGGCAGCAGCATTTTCCAAATAAGAGAAATTATACAATAATAAAACTTCGGTTGCCATGCCAAACATGAGCAACGTTATTCCTGGCTACGGTGGCGACCATGGTAACGGCAGGGCAGGAGGTGCTAAGAATCTCCGGTGGAGGTCCGGTTACCACCTAAGACGACTTGACCTGGCTACATATAACGCACGCACTTTGAGGACAGTAGAGAAGATCCTGGAGCTGGAGGAAGAGTTAGATAAGTTGCGCTGATAGGATGTGCTATTATAAGATTATCCGAGGTCTGAAGAGAGGCGGAGAACACGGTAATCCTCGAACCGACAACTTGTTCTATCATCGGGAGGGAGACAATACAAGTCTCTCGTCAACAACGTTGTAAGGTTAATGTCAACGAGGGCTGTGTCCGTGAAACTCAGAATCACGAAAAGGTATTCGCTGAAGGTCATACAGGTTTACGCACCAAACTCAGCACATCCTGATGAGGAGGTGGAGAAAATGTATGAGGATATCTCTGGAGCCATGCATTCCTCCAAACCCTTGAACTTCAACTCGAAACTAGGCACAAGAGAAAGCGGTGAGCTGAAAGTAGGAAAATTTGGAACAGGGCAACGGAACGAAAGAGGCCAGCAGCTGGCCGATTTCATGGAGAAAGAGAGACTCTTTACGATTAACTCTTTCTTCCAGAAGCGGCGCCACAGGAAGTGGCCCTGGTCAAGCCCCGACGGTGCGGTAATAAATAAGATTGACTTCATTATAACGACCAGACGCTAACTGTTTGTTGATGTCTTAGTGATCGCAAGGGTGAAAACTGACAGCGATCACTAAATAGTTAGAGGCACATTGAACCTTAAGGTCAAGTTGTGGTCACGTCTTATAAAGCCAACGCTCAATCCCCCTTGTGCGTTAATCTAGGGTCCCGAAAACTTTCAGCTCGAATTACAAAACCGTTTTCAGTGCCTAGAAGTTTGTATTGCAGTGGACGATATGAACAACAAGCTCGTGGAAACTGTCCATGCAGTTGGAGCTAAGTTCTGCAAGACCCGCCGCTGAAAAACACATAAACTTTCCGATCACACTCTTAATCTCATGGTTGCTAGATGGCAAATGAGGCTGCAGTCTTCAGCAGATTTTACAGCATACAGGACACTGAACACACAGATCTCCAAATATATGCATCGGGACTTACGCAACTTCAATACAGCTCGTATTGAAGAAGCGATTGAGCGAAACCAGGGCTGCAAAGTCTTTGCCAGAGATCTGTCTGCCAGAAAGATCCAACTGTCAAAGCTGAAGACCTAATGTGGCAGCATCTTTTCTGGGACACATGAAAATCTGGGGTAAGAGGTTCTATAGGCAGCTGTACACGTCATCGTTGGAGCCACACGTAAGTGTGAGTAACGATTCAAAAGCAAGTCTTATCCGACAATATTCCGATGATATCCCGGACGTCAGTCTGACCGAGATTAGAATGGCTCTCTAGCACCTTAAGAACGGCAATTCCCCGGGCGAGGTTGTAATTACAGCTGAGTTTCTGAAATCGGGTGGAAAACCGATACGTAAATTCCTAAAAAAGCTCTTCAATTCCTTACTCTATGACGGCACTATTTCGGAGGTGTGGAGCAGAAATGCGGTGGTCTCTTTTTTTTCAAAAATGGTGACAACGCTTTCTTTAAGAAATACAAACTGATTCTCCTTCTGTGCCGCGTCTACGTGCTGTTTTCGATAGTCATTACAAATCGTCTCGCACGCAGTCTCGACGACTTCTAGCCTTCCAATCAAGCCAGTTACCAAAAAGGCTTTAGTACCATAGACCAAATAGATACACTTTGACAATTTGTACAGATCTCCGAAGAGTACAATCTGCCACTTTGTCTTGCGTATGTGAACTATGAGAAGGTCTTTGAGTCCGTTGAAATTTGGCCGGCGCTGCAATCCCTTCAGTGTTGCCATGTAGACTGTCGGTATATCGAAGTCCTAAAGTGTTTGTAGAGTAGAGCTACGATGGCTATCCAACTACAGAACCAGAGTACGAAACCCATCCAACTGCAGAGAGGTGTAAAACAGAGTGATGTTATATTCCAGAAACTCTTCACCGCTACTTTGGAAGACGTTTTCAAGCTACTGGACAGAAAAAGATACGGTATTAATATCAATGGCGAGTACATCACTCACCATCGATTTGCCGCTGATATATTTCTAATACCAGAATCGCTGGAGGACTTAAGCACTATGCTCAATGACCTCAAAAGTAACCCCTAACGGATAGGTCTTAAAATAAACACGGAGAAAACCAAAGTCCATGTCAAATGTGTAATGTCCATGTCACACCTATGCCGGTTGTTGTTGAGAGCATTAAGCTCGGAATGTTGATGAATATGTTTACCATTAGGGCGTCCCCCCACTAGATAGAGTAATGACCTCTAAAGACATGCAGGAGGTCGATGGGTGTAGGTGACTTAGGACCGTGCCTTGTGGCATTCTTCGGGGGAGGCCTATGTTCAGATTTGAACTTGTGAAGGACTGTAATGATGATGATTTTCGATACACTTAAATATAACCACATAATAATAAAACCCTATCGTTCAAAGCTTAAATAGCAACCTATTCGTCAAAAGCTCATGGGCATAGCCTTTTCAACAACCACGGGACGATATTGGTTGTTGCATATACTTACGCTACCACCACTTTTTAAAATGCGTCTTTTATTCATGCGTTTTCCGATAAAATCGCTCGAAGTTTTACGTTATATGTTTCATCAGTTGTATATTTTAGTTAAATTTAAAAAAAATGTATAAATTAATGAGTTAAAGTTAACAGCATTGGAAAATTCTACTATAGCTAGTAATTGATATATTCAATCTAATAATTTGGAGGCTGAAGGCGACGTGCCGTTCCTTCTATGCTAATTTTTGGATTATGACAAAAACTATATGAAGAACTATTTACGAAACATTTAATTAATTTTAAATGGAATTTATAATGACATAATGATAATGAGATAACATGACTCTTCATGCAATTTAACTACACTAAAATTAATACAAACATTCATAATTATAATCCATAGCATCCTCTTACACATTTATAATTAGTACAGAAGTATGCAACAAATTGCATACAATGACACTAATAAGTAATACTGTCACGTAAATGCTCATTGAATAACATCATTCGTATATCACACGCGCCAGCATAATTACCTTATCACTTTCCTTAGAGGAATATTTATTATTACTACACTATACTAACAGTCTTTACCGGCAACTTCAAGGCAAAAGCCTCGGATTATATTTGCCGACATACAGAATCATGCCAGATGGATTATGTCTCACGAAGAACAGGAATGGTCTGTCAAACTTTAATCTTGCCGGCTGTGCATTTCTTGCTGGAAGACGCGCTTGTCGTGGTCTAAGGTGCAAAGGCAAATGCATAGCCTCTCCGACATCGTGCGGATCATGGAAAGCTCTCTGGTAATCTCTCGGTTCATCCCAACCAGTAATCCATCTGGCAGAACGACGTTTATGTACCTCGAATATCTCTGGATACTCTTCAATATGATGTTGATCTCCAATTACACCTTCACCGCAAGTTGTAAATGTTGATTGTTGAATCATATCTGATAAATAGAGATCCTTTGATGGTCCATTTAATCCACCTAAATCAGCATGGTCAGCGTCAAATAAATCTTTTAGACCCATTCGTTTTAAAGTTGAAGAAATGTTAAATACAGATTTGTGAGAAAATCTGGGAATTTGCAGTTCCAATCCAACTCTTGGAAGTAAAGTACGTAGCAATCGGTTCCACGCTGGATTACTTGGATTTGAATTTAATAAACGTTTTTCGAGATCTTCTAGATCTTCTGCATGAACAATGTTACCTTGTTGCCCAGGCATAACGAATAATGTACTAACAACGGAATTGACATTCCCTAAAGCCGCAGCAGTTGCATCAAGCACTGGGTCGTAGCCGGCTAAGAAATTATGTTTATAGACTACAGCAGGAACAGGCACTAGTCTTCTTTGACGCACATTCGGTGACACAACGAAGTACATTTCTCCATCTCTTCCATCTACTGAAGTCTCAGAACAGTCCGTCTGAAATGTCAAAAATAATTGTTAAAATATGTATGACAAATATTTTTTTTATATTTTTTTAGACATTTAATTACTTAATATATAACCAATGGTCATATGACATAGTGACTCAATTTTGATGGTCGTTACAAGTTTTGGACTATATTTCCAGCTGAAATCATTTCTTGTAGGATCACAAAATTTCTCAATCAACATTCTGACGTTTTTGTCGTTTAATTGACTCTAACGCCTTACCGAGCTACTACCAGCACAAAGTAGGTAAGTTATTTACTCAAACACTGCCAGCTCTCTGGCAGAGAAGGTGGAACTAGTTGTACACCCTCACTTTAGTGTCACCAGTAAATACCAAGTGTGGCCGTGGTAGGAAAAGGGGAGATCTCCCGCCGGGCAAGGTGTTGTGCCCGGGGAGCGGCCGACACTCCATGTGATAGTTCGGAGATGTTCTATATATACTGTTTATGATTCGGAATGTTGATAGCGTGATTTAGGCTTCGGTGTATTTCGCTTGTGGCGCGACGACAGCGCCGCTACATCACCCCCCTGCTCAGACCGGAGGTCGATAGTGCAGTCTCGTTGTCGACGAATGTGCAAGTGCCAGGAGATTGCCTTGTAGTCTGCAGTGAGTCGAGAAGAAGGCAAGTAATCTGCGAGAGTGCCGTGAAGCAGAGGCGAGCAGTAAGGCTCAGAGCCGTGCCGAACACTGTATAGCGCAGAGAGTAGCTTGAAGGAACAGGAAGCATTATTATTCCAGTGCTGCGGTGAACCTTGTGAAGCTAGATGGCTTGCAGGATATGAAGACTGCAGATGATATCTGCTCGGGAGCGAATGGGTGGGGTATTCTATGACGATGATGAAGCTTGTAGTTTCCGAAGGTTGTTGGTTGCGTGTATTCAAGATCACGTCGGATGGTCACCACTGTGATCGTGGAAGGAAAAGGGGAGATCTCCCGCCAGGCAAGGTGTTGTGCCCGGGGAGCGGCCGACACTCCATGTGATAGTTCGGAGATGTTCTATATATACTGTTTATGATTCGGAATGTTGATAGCGTGATTTAGGCTTCGGTGTATTTCGCTTGTGGCGCGACGACAGCGCCGCTACACCAAGTAAGAAAGCGAATCACGATTAATGCCGCCTCAAATAATGGTTAGGCAAGGAGGTTCGTGCGATCCGTAGCCATCTTCCTCTGGACACTGCATATTTTTGATCTACAGTGACATATCGCTAGCCTCTTCACCCTCTCGTACCCTCTTAGAATAATAATAATAAAACTTGTTATTTTTTATAGGATAAGGGTAACAAACGAGCAAACAGTCAACCTGATGGTAAATGGTTGCTGTGGCCCATAAACATCTACATCTTTTCTCGATTACGAATCAAACTTCAGATATGTTGTCACCCGTAAGGACAAAGATGGAATGCCTCGTATCCAGTAAAAAGGGTGTGCAGTTCTCTACACATATCATACGGAATACAGCAACATTAAGCTGCTATTTTACGCTGGTACTCTGTGAGAGTGTGGTCCTTCCTCAGTCGATCCGACCAATTTGTGATACAACTGTACTACTAATATAGATGCAGCATGGCTCTATCACGTAAAATTTATTTGAATCAATTCACACCTGGTTGTTAAAAATGTACAAAAAGAATATCACAACCATAGCTTCAAAACATACCTTTGTAACATAACAAAAGTAATCCCACGAACAAAGAAGGTAGCACCCGCTACCCTCTTAGTTCGTGGGACTAAGCACTTAAAGTGCTCTTCTGAGCCCCAGCGATGGTCCATGTGGAGACCTAGGTACTGAATGTACCACCCGACTCTTACTTTATACCCACAGGTTTTTAATTACCAAAATTTATTAATGCTTTTGTTTTCTCTTTCGGAAAATAAATTGGTAGTGTAAGAATATACACTATTACATATTAATGCATATTTATGTATATTTTTCATTTTTTTATATATTAATTCCCTTGTGTCTTATAAGAGGTGACAGGGGGTAACTGATACAAAAGATGGGCAGAATCTTGCTGACTCAATAAACTAAAACTTCGGTTGCCAATTTGCAAATCAAGAGATGCGCAGCAGCGTCTTCCTAATAACGACTAAAAATCAAAAACTGCGCTTGCCAACCCGCTTGTCAAGCGTTGCAACTACGGCAAATATGCTCCTATGAGGCAATCTATAGAGAGGGCTATGTTTAGCAGTTGATTTTAATAGGTACAAACTAATTTAAATGGGTGTAACGGTAAATAAATTACAACAGACATCAGGCAGACTTAGTACGGAATACTCAACATAATATAAAATACTTACTTGGAAAATATTAGCTGAAAAAGCCGCTAAGGGAGGTTGCATCACAATAGAGTTTGTTTTCATATATTCCATAATTTTACCCCAGGTGTACCTCTTAACTAGTAAATTTGTACGTCTTCGTATTATGTCACTGATAAGTTTAAAGTTCACCTCTTCGACGTGACCATTGTAAAAATGTTGCGCTCGTTCTTTGTAAAATGTTAAAATTTTACCTTTATTTCTATCACTATACAACTCTCTGATAAATGCAGATACTACAACGCCTGCAGCTGGAGTTGTTTCGATTGAATCAGAAATGTTTTTTAATGTAAAATGTGGATTGAAAGTGACCATATCGTCCAATTTAAGTATATCATTCATTTCGCCTGATGTTGCGCCTTTAGCCCCCATAAACATCATAGCTAGCATAGAAGTAATAGAATAAGGAGAAAAGACGAAGCTTCTCTTTTTGTCAATAGTTTCAATCATGTCGTTCCAATAACGAAATGCTAGTTCATTACACAATTTAGTAAACTCTGCAATATCGTCTCCTAAATCTTTCGTAGTTAATTCTAATCCCTGGTTTTCATTAGAAACTTCTAAAACTATATTTTTATCATCAATATTTTCATGGTGATTGTAAATATCTGGTTTGAGTTTGTTTTTAGTAAATTTAGTACTTTCATGAGTTTTAGGTGGTGATACTGTAGGTATTAATTTCCATGAATTATTTCGATCAGTTCCCAATTCTTTATCATCGATATTAACTTTTTGAATTTTCTTCTTAAATTCTTCTACTTTTGGTAAAAGTTCTTGATCTTCGTCTTTATTTTTGTTATAATAATCCTTTTTTTCTATTGAATTTGTTTGATTTTTAAAGTAATCACTCTTTTCAGAGTCTTTATTTATATCGGACTTGTATGAAGGTAAAGTGGAATTTACAGTGTTATTATCATTTTTCAACTTTAATACCTGTTGGTCATCAATCTTCTTAGTAGTAACTGGTGTAGATTCTTCGCTTTTTTCATTTTCAACTTCTATATCTTTGTTTATTTCTGTTGATGAATTTAGGGGCGTATATTGTTTATCAGAACTAATTGTACCATTAGTTTTCACAATTTCTTCATTTTTATCATTTATTTCACCAGATATATCGAGTAGGGGTTTTGTGCTATTGTTAATTATAGTACTATTTGAATTATTTTCGATAACAAAATCGTTTTCTTTATGTTTATTCTCCATTTTCATCAAATCCAACCCAGAATTGATGTCATTACTCGTATGAATATTTTTTTCTATAAAAAGAACTTCAGTTGTTGCTTCTGTATTAGCCGTATTATACTCAGTTGTGGCTTCTGTAGTAAATTCCACTGTCGTTGTTTCCATTTCTTGTTCTAATAGTTCTTCAATATTTTGGTCACTATCAGGTTTTTCATTTACTACTTGAGATAGTAAATCACCCATAGATTCTGACAAAATAGGATCTAAAGTAGTAACTTCATTTGTTACTAACTGAGTATTATTTGGAACAATAATTTTATTTTCTTCAATATTAGATATCGTACTCTCATTATTACCGTGAGGCTCTATTACTGAAATTTTGATAAAATTGTCGGTTTTATTGCTTGTTCCAATTTTTATGTCATTATTATTTTCAGTTTCAGGAGGTATTTCTATTTCCAAATTTTCCTTGCTCTCCAAATCTATATTAGTTATTTTTGTACTCTCTAAAAAGTTGTTGGATGTTTCCATAGGTCTATATGTACCTCCTAGATCAGAAGCTATTTGGCTTAAACTCTGAGCAACATCAAACAATGGCAATGTTGGGTCGTTTTCTTTAATATTATTAGCAATGTTTGAGTTAGAACCTATGTCGTTATCTTTTGAACTATTTTGATGCAATGAACTTTCAAGAGAAACCAACTCAGTAGATGTTGCAGTGGTTGAAGGTGACACAGACTGTGTAGTAATAGTCGTAGAATTAATTTTATCATGAGATGAATACACGTCATTGTCTGTAGTTTCCTTTATTTTATTTGTAGTCATATCTGATTGTGAGTGTATCATCCAAGCAGTGGGTGAATTAATATAGGACGTGGTGGAGTTTCTGTCACTATTTTCTAAAGTTTGGATAATCTTCGTTGTTTCTTTTGGTTTATATGTTACTTTTTCTGATAAATAAGTAACAGTAGAAACCGGAATATATGTGCTTACCATTTCGTACTGAATATCACCTCTTTCAGTAGTGGGAGCTAAATGAGTAAAAGAGTGTATTCGGTCGTTTGTCACTTCAAAATTTTCTGAAACTTTTGTTGAAGTAATCGGTTTAGTAGTTGTGGAAACAGGCTTTTTCGAGGTTGAAGACGGTTTTGAAGTTGAACTTATTGTTGTTGAAGTATACGTTGAATATCCTTTGTGTGTAACGTTGCTTGAGGAAAGTAAGTTTGGTTTCGTAATAGGTCTTGTAGTAGTGGTGCTGGTCGTTGTTTTTGGTTGAATAGTAGTTTTAGTAGTAGTCATTTTTATTGTACTTGAAGGAGGCTTTATAATACGCTTCGATGTTGTGGTTGGTCTAGATGTTGTTATTGTTGATGTCGTTGTGCTTGACATATCGAACTTATTTTCATCTCTAACTACTGTTTCCACTAATATTTGCGCTTCTTTGCTTAATGTATTTTCATCCTCTTCTGGTTGATTATCATCAATAGTATCAGTTTCTGGAGTAACATATGATCCCATTGTTTTATCAGGAGTTATATCTACCCCAGTATTTCCAAATATTGATGGCAAAATTAAGCTCCATGAGTCCGAAACATCAGGTGTGTCTAAAGTAGGCTGCGTGTGTGGTTTATTCTTGTGTGCTTCCATTTGAGCTTTTAAAACATTTTGGACATTAGTTACCACGCTGTGCACTTTTGTATATGGTGGTTGACTAAAATTAAAGGCAATAGTTGGTTGATTGTCATTTGCAAATGTCACTAAGCCTTCGGTCTCTTCACCAGCTGCCACGATTGCCTGAATTTCTTCCAAAGTCATTAACCTCTTAACTAGTTCTCCTGATTCATCGAAGGTATAAAATTCATATCTATCTGGTGTCAATAAATTAACAGGACTTCCAACAGTTGCTGGTAAATTTGATGGTGGAGGTAATGTGTTTCCAAGAGCATCAGCTACGTATGGGAGCTTCGAGCGCCTGGAACATGTTATTTATCGAATTAATTTTTTTAAATCCTTTACATGATTTTAAGTACAGATGACAACATTTTTATATACATATATAAATGAACGCTTTGGCGCATAAACATTTAAATCTACTCTCAATTAAGAATGAAAATGCAGATGTGTTGTCTCCTCTAAGGATTAAGATGGAATGTCTCGTTACCAGTAAAGAATTCTCTCGTTCTCTACACTCATCGTACCAAACACGGCAGTATCAAGCTACTTTTTACGCTAGTATTCTGTGAATATAGTATAGTATAATATATAGTACTTTCCCGGTTGAGCTAATAGATTCGTGCTACAGCCACAATATAGCGTTTAGGTATTGAGTTTAGTTTTTGATTAATGAATTTTGTTTTATAGAATAGACTAACAGCCCAATTCTCTTCTTTTATTTGCCTGTGTGTTATCGTTTTTTTTCTTGCTGTAAAAACTTAATCAAGTTGCATAGTAGATAAAAATATAATTATCGGCCCATAATGAAAAAAAAATCATCTATGTCACACGAATAGATAAAAGCTTTAAAAGCTTTAAATTGATTAAATGTAGTACATATTGAAAGTCATTATTTTAGCACTGGTTTGGATAAAAAAACCTCTCCTGTGAAGTCAGTCCTGGGAAGAGCCAGCGGAACTTTTTTTTAAGCACAATTTACAATATACTTAATATTTTATACGATTGTTATGAAAACATTAAAAAAACAGCATGGTAGGACCACATCATTCCCAGGGGTTATTATCAATCATGTATACTTAATTAGTATAACAACCCTTACTAAACAATTTTTGCTTAATAAATATTTTAAACCTTTTGATAGATAAGGTCTGCATATTTTCTGGCACTTTGTTGTATACATTGCCCTATGAAGGAATTACTAACTCTTTACAGTCGAGTAACTGGTTTAGCTAAGTTTTGCTTGTTGCTAGTATTTAAAGAATATTCATTACTATTTTTAATAAAACTATATTTGTTTTTTTTTAAAAAAACATACATTAAACATTCGTAAATATATTAGGAAGCCAAAGTTAATATATTAATTTCTTTAATTTTTTTGTCTAAGAGATTCCTTCAGACCTAGGTAATAAATTGCTCTTATGTCTCTCTTCTGCAAAACAAAGATAGTTTTAGTGTCATTCGCATTACCCCATAGTAAGATTCAATAATATGATATTATGCTATGGAAATAACTAAAATAAACTATTCTAGCTGTTTCAACGCCTCTAATACTTTTTACAGCATTTGCTGCAGAACTAAGTTTGCTAGCTAGTTTAGATATATGAGGGTCTTTTTGAAACTTCGCGTCAACTGTGATTCCGAGAAAAACAATAGGTTCAACAAGGCCCAGCTCCTCCCTATTTAAAACCACATTGGTTTTCACGTGTTTGGTTTTGGTGAATTTAATATATTTCGTTTTATTACCGTTAAAAAGCAAATTATTGACGTTAAACCAGTGTGCTACTTTTAATATAGCATTGTTCACTTCGTCATATTTCAATAATCGGAAAACCACCGAAGTATCATCAGCAAATAAAACTATCATGGTTATTTCCTATTAAGTGAGGTAAGTCATTAATATAAACTAAGAACAGAAATGGGCCAAGAATTGAGCCCTGAGGAACATCCATATACTACCTATCCGGAAGAACTGCCTCAATTAATTATACATCCATTTAATAGCTAGCTTTATCACTTTATACCAATATGCATGATATAAAGGAATTTTAAAGCAGAAAAGAGTTCGCTTCTCTATTTGGTATTGTTTTTTAATTAAAATTTCCAATTTCTTTGACATTAAAATTTCCTTAGCATATTTTCCTTCATACCGGTGGAATGTGATTTGGGACGCTAAATAAAACCCAATTTTTTTTTAATTTTAATGGGTAGCGATACTTATCGAGTCATTATCAAATATGTGATTTTCCATACCAAAACAGTGCTTCTTTATCATTTTTTTATTTCAAAAAATAGGAAACGCATTGCCGAAAATTTTTCGAAAAACAAATAAGCAATGCGTAATTTTACCTAGAGATTGCGGATATTTGATTTATTCATAAAAACTCTATAATATTACCTTACATATTATTATCTATTAAATTTCATAAAGAGAAAGGTCTGCTTTTATGCCAAGAAGTCTGTCTAATAATTTCATGCTATCAGGCATTAGAGCCCAATCATTCTCTACTAGCCACTTGCTACCCGGTGTACTGTCGTTTGTTACCCTAATGCTAAAATATAAAATATTATATCATACCTTTCTTGACTTTCATCAGCAAACACGGTTGCAACAGTGAGCAAAACCCACAATATGACTTCCATTTTTCCCACCCATGCACTGCCTCGACACCTGAAACTGCAGAATAACTCAAATAAGTGCACAGGTTGATTTATAGAACAAAATGAATTATTTTTCCCTGATGGGTTCAAATGGTACCAGACTCATTAGGTGTTGCTTCACATAGTAAATTGTCTCTCAATGAAGGAGCGTGCAAAGAGGCTTATAATAATAATGCCCTCCAGACCGAATTTCGGTCACGGCGACCAGCCTCAACGGAGACTAGCCATCGGTGCAGGACAGGATTATAGTGCCCAAGTGTATGCGCAAGCACAGGTGCACTCTCTATTCCCTCACTCTCATAATCCGATGGGACGGTAAACCGACACGACCGGAGAAAGATCAGGCGCAGCACCAACGGCTTTACGTGCTTTCCGAGGCACGGGGGTGAGTTACCGCCATCTTCCTAACTCCGGACAGCTACTGAGAATTTCTTGACGGAAAAACTCAATAATTGATTTTTTGGCCCGACCCGGGATTCGAACCCAGGACCTCACGATCACCAGTCGCACTAATACAACCACTAGACCAACGAGACACTAGATCACTAGATCTTGATTTGGTTGAAACCAATATTGACGATAAAGCGACTGTGTGCGAACCGCGAACTCAAAAGGTTATGGGTTCGGGTGGCATGGGCAAGGCATGTGGTCCCGGATCTACAGGATACTTTCCGGAGAGTGTGCACAGGAACTACATGATTAAATACTTCCACCATACATTTTATGTGGTAGAGCTGTGTTACGGCTATATTATTGTTGTAGCACGAATGTGTTGGCTTAACCGGGGAAGGAACACGCTGTCACTGAATAAAGACCTAACTAGCAGCCTAAAGCTGTCGTTTTTCTTATGGTGAGTGTAGAGAACCGGAGACCCTTTTCAGTGGACACGAGTCATTCCATTTTAGTATTTAGGGGTGATAACGCATCTATCTACATTTTGATTCTTGATCTATCTACTTTAAAAAACATATATTCGATGATCGATCGACAGATATTCGACGCATTCAACCAAACAGTTTGTTTTGTATTTTGCTCCATATTATAAACTTATTAATATAAACAGAACTGTGATACAATAATGTAATGATATTCATTACAGAATTTCGCTACGTGGAGAGGTAATTAAAATAGTGCGTTTAATCATCTGGGGTTTCATCTCATTTACTTCAATTACAATAACAAAATGTGCTACTGCGCAAAGAGACGATGCGCTGGTTAGAAATCCCGCACGGAATGAGTATTTTTATGGCCTTCAAGTAATTGTTTCAAGTCTGGATGTTTGTCCTTGTACAATTTATGTATGTAAAATGCCTCCACGATACAGAATAGAATCTTAGTGTGTGTGAGGGTAACTTTTTTAAATAAAAAATATTTTTTTATTTCATTACTCAGTCGTTTTGTTATAATAAACAATAAAGCGATAATTTAGTAATTGCACCTATAACTCCAATTAAAATATCATTAGTGCTAGCGGACAGGTATCACGTTTCAGCTGTGAGAAGGCGGTGTAAGAATATCCACTATACTGCATCGTCTCGTCAGTGTTGTAAGATGCGACAAAGAAAAACAAACCAGAAGATGAAGAAGTGTCTCCCTAATTACAATTAAAAATAAAAAACCCTTGGTTTTTGGTTGCCAATCTACCGAACGTGGCAACTATGCAAATTCTCCCCATGAGACAATCTGTAGGCGGGCCTATGTTCGGCAGTGTACTTTTATAGGCTGTAACGGTAAACGACGGCGATCAAATCGTATCCCATTTACTCGCGTGACTGTTGTTGTATGAACTTTAAAGCAAGTATTTCCATAATAAGTTCACTCGGTCTCCTTTTGTACGTTTTCATTGTTATTTGTGATATTTACAAAAAAAAATTGAAAAGTAGGTTAACCAAAAGCAGTAGCATGCAATAATGCATCCTACCCAATGATCAATGACTGTCTGACCCGATGACGGGAACGCAAGCGGAGTTATGTGCAACTCACGAGTTGAAACGTTTCCCAGCGACCGAAAATATTGAGCTGTCACTTGTTGTTAAACTTTGTAAGGCTTACGGTATTTGTGTTTATGATTTTATTTTATATAGACTGCAGGGAACGTTTTTGTTGGCCTTATAAGCCTTGGCCTCCTGGCCTCATACCCAGAAAACGACTACAAGAAGCCACTGCATATTGGAAGTGAATATAATCGATAATTATATAATTTTTTAAGAAAACGTAACGTCGAACAAAATTTATCTTATTTGTAAGCGATTCCAATAGTTATGCCGTTCGTGACTCAATGGTGAATGATGTCATCATCATCATAAACTTTAAATAATCCACTTGCATGCCACATTTCTTGGAACATTTTCCCGTACTCAGCACTATGGGCAGGCAAGTTGTAGACACAGAGTCAATACCCCTGTCAGATCCGATGGTGTTGTGGAATAGCATTGCCAATAATAACAACTCCACATCACCAGTTTGTCAAATGTAGGTTCAGTGTTTTTGTGTAGATTGACCACCGTTTGTCAGTCGGCAGCACCTTTCCCGTCGATACCTCTGTATCTTGCGGCCATCGTGTTTAGGTGAAATTGAAATTTGTAGAAAAATCATAATATTTCACCTTATAAACCGATATAATTTCGTTTCAATAAATTCAGACCAGCAATGGAAAGCAGTGTCAAAGATGAAAGATATTTAATACTGCGACAGTTAACCAGCCTGCCTATCGCATCTATATAGTTTTTCTTAATTTCTCAAACGTGCAGGTTTCCTCACGATGTTTTCTTTTATGTCCAAACATGCGGTAAATCAGCATTTAAAATTGCAATCAAGAAATTAATTAATTTTTCAATCAAATCATGGTGCCGACGGGAATCGAACCCAGGGTGCTCGCGTACTGTGAAATTTGCAGCCAGCGCCTAAGATAACACAAGCTTTGAGCTTCGAGTCCTATAAAATTTACAGCCTATATACGTCCCACTGCTGGGCACAAGCCACCGCTCATTTCTGAGAGAGTTTTATGGCAAGGAAATGTCCGCCGCGCTGCCCCAATGCGTGTCGGGGAACTTCAAATAACTTCGAAATTTTTTTTCTTATTCCTCAGACATGCAGGTTTCCTTGCGATGTTTTCCTTCACCGCCGAGCACGTGGTAAATCAGCACTTAAAATTGCAATTAACAATTTCATTGGTGCCGGCGGAGCCGGCACAAATGAAATGCATGTCTGAGGATTAAGAAAAAAAAATTTCGAAGACATGTGAAGTTCGTCAACACGCATTTGGACAGCGCGGCGAACACTTCCTTGCCCTAAACCCTCTCAGAAATGAGGAGAGGCCTCAGCCTAGCAGTGGGATGTATATAGGCTGTAATTACTTTTTGTGCCGGCGGGGATCGAAGCCGGTTTACTCGAGTACTGTGAAATTTACAGCGAGCGCTAACCGTTTGAGCTACCACAGCTCACGAGTGCTATAACGAAACTTTAAATATTTTGAAGAGTTGTTAGTAATGGAGAACTATCATTAGAAAAATAAAAAGAATTTCCTTGACTTTAGAAATACTAAAGGATCCGACGACCATCAAATAGTAAATGGCCACTGCATGCCATAAAAAAGGAGTTTAATTAAAAAGCAGTAATTTCGGAATAAAGATTGTTATAGGTGTATTGGCACCCCTATAGTATGGCCAATTTAATTGATCACATTTGACACTTCATCAAAATTCAACAACGTAACCTTGTGACGGTGGGCATAACATATTTATTTTTTTCAAAGTTAGAACTGCACAATTGACATATATGCAATAATGACTAAAGAAGGTAATTTTACGATTTACTCTAAAAATGTCTTTACAATGTTGCATTAGTGATCCCTTTTTTTAACCCTAGGGATGTTTGGTAATAAGAGTTTTTTGATCTGTGAAAAGAAACTACTAACTAGCAATATTTATGTAAAACCCAATACATTTTATTTATTAGTAACACCCCAATTGATGTATTAACCTTACGACCAATTAAAAAAAATATTATAATTTCTCTTTTTCATTTTATACTGAATTAAAATTTTAATCGCGGACTTAAGTCGCAGAAATAGTCGTAAAGATTAAAAAAAAAAATAATTTGTATTAAATTATACAAAAAATAGTCATAAAGATAATAGAATTATTATTACTTGCTATTATTTAATACAAGCTATTATGAAGTTCACGCTAAAGTATTACGACCATAAAAACCGCGGACCGTAAACGGTAAAGTGTAATAAACCCGCTAAACTGGTAAAGTGGCGGTCATTGTCACTAGGACCTGAACTACTTGTTCGTATCGGCGTATGACAACACCTGATGCTTTCTTTTTTCTGCGAATCTATCATTGCAGTTTCCATTTTAATTGCTAACAATAAAAATAAACGAAAATGAAACAGTAGGGATAATGTCTTCTAGACCAAATTTCGATCATAACGGCCAGTCTAAACGGAGGTGCCTTATATCTAGTGCGCTTCCATAGAATTAATAAAAAAATAAGTAGATAAAACTCATATTTATTAAGAAATGAAATTAAATTCATAATTACTAAGAAATGAACTCAATCGCTACTCGATTTACTGTTTCAAAGAAAAATCTTTTATGCGAGCATTGAACGCGGTAACTCAATTAGGTTGGGGCTAGGACAAGATTATAAGATTAAAAAAGTACTGTGCTTAATAGAAATCTATGATGAAGCCTCCGCCTGAATAATTATAATAACGAAGTTAAATATATTAAGAACGTATATTTATTTAAAAAAAAACTATTATCTGTACTATTAAAATAAAATTGAAATGTCTGTCAGTAATATATGTTTTGGGTGGAATTTAAGAACTGATTTCAAACTTCTCAATGAGCTATAAAGTTGAAATTTTCAACAAATATAAATAATAATATCTTTTCTTATTTCACTTATTAAAATTTCTCCGTCTGTTTGTTTGTCCGGGATTATCTTCGATATAGCTGAACCAATTGTAAAGA